AATCTCTAAATAAAACTACCAAACGCATTTTTAGAAATAATTCAAAAATGAAACTAAAAACGTTTTCATTTTCATTTTCGTACAGAAAATAAAAACGTTTTGGAACCAATTCCAAACGCACCCTATGTATCAAGTTGCAAGACGCGTCGAGAATTTATCATGCTCTCTGCATTTTGGATCGTTCAGTCAAATACTATTTTTTTCATCGTCTATTTATTGTGCTTTTACAGATGCATACAATTAACTTATAGTAATATATTTTAACTGGAAAATACGCTAAAATAGAAAAGACTTGTTTTATGTACACAATGAATTATCTATTTACACGTAAACAAGAGCACAAACACGGTAAAAGAGTTCCACACTTCAATCCTCCATGCGGGCTGGTTTTCTCAGTTTGGTGACTCCTTTTACCAAACCTGAGATAAGGGGGGATAAGATATTAATCCTTCACTCTGGGAAACTCGACAAGCAAGTTCTAGACACTCCCAAGAAAAAGAGATTTTTAGCACACTTGACTTTTTCATAACGAACAAGGTACTAACTACCAACGAACCTCGTATTGGAAACACCTAGTGATAAAAGATTCTCAGCATTTGTTAATATATATTACGACAAATTCGTATGCTTACTTTCCATAATAAGTACAAGGAACCAACGTGGCTGAGTCATTTCTTCTTGGTGGCGTCAATGAACATGGCTCGAGTCCAATGCTCAACATCCTCACATTGTGATGGGGGAGGAGGAAAAGTCGGGTGTTCGATGAGATCCCATCCTTCAATAATGAATTCGTTCTTTCCAGCATCAGACTCCGTGGCATAAAGAAAGCTGGTGGCAGGATTAGGAAGGTTGTTTTCACCAATATTCTTCTGCAAGGCCCGGGGGAAAAAAAAATTATGGAAATTAAGTTTGCTACTAAAGTACCATAACAATACCACAACAGCATAATGTTTCTCTTTTCTCAAAAATAACATACAATGATCTTTTCATCCAATCCGATAAATCAACCAACTCCTGACTCAAACCCAAGAAAGCACATAGATGTGCATAGTAAAAGAGTGCAAGTGAAAAAAAACTCTTAAAATACCACTTCAGGCTTCTTAACATTTGGAGGATATCAATAGAGGTGGTGCTATTGTTGTCTTGAATCTTGTAAAAATTACCTTCTTAATAAATCACCATGGCTTTTATTTCCCAACCCAACTCACGACTTCAGAGAACCATGAAAAATACAATGAAAGAAAACGCAAGATGGAGAATAGAAAAGAAATGCATGCTCGTTATCAGCAGTGAAATGAGGAGGAAGAAAAACTTTACTTGTCAAATGGGAAATTGAAAAAAATAAAATAAAAAAGCCCTAACTAATTTAGACAAGCAAAAAGTCAGTTATCTACAAATTTAGGGTTCGGAGAATATAGGAAATTGAAATGCAATCTTATACCATTGATGCCACTGTATGTGCACTATCGAGTAGAGTGGTTGAGGCAAAGGCAGAATTCACATTCCACACAGATTTGTTTAACTGCTGAACTTGTTTATTTGACCTGCATAAAAGAGAGAACAACATTGTAAAAAGGCTTAGGATAAGGGAGTTTACAATAACAAAAATGCAATACTTTGATCATCTGCACGTGTAAGAAAATTAGTAGCCACCTAGTTTACGACAATCATTCCTAGGAAATGATATGAAGTTGACAACTTAACAATAACTGAAACATATTACTATAAAAACTCGAAATCGAGCAAAAAAACAAAAAATAAGTAGATAATATCAGACTCGAAAAAGGTACATGTATCTGTCAAACAAAAAAAAAAGGATAAGAAAAAAAAAGTGGATAATGAAAAAATTTTTACAAAAATAGTTCTTGCTAGAGCTACAACAATAACGATTTCATACCCCTCTTCTATTGGCAATATTCAGATGGAAACGAAACAAACAATGATGAACCAAAAATATTGAAAAATAATGTTTTTGTGAGTAGTTTACCTTGAGCAAGCTGATTTTATGGAACAAACAGAACGGAGTTCCTTGGATGAAGATAATGTGGCTAATAATTTTGCAAATGCTTCAAAAGTTGATGCCTCAGATGGGACATCTAGGCACAATGAATTATAGCAATATGTCGTTATGCATGCCACACTTTTCTTGAGGAGTGATATGCCTTTCTGCAAGTCCTTGTGTGTTTCAATAGAATGTGGAGAAGCAGAAGAATAGTTAAAGCTATTACTTCCTGAAGAATCCAGGCGGACCTTCCTCTCTGATTCTATCGAAGTAACACCAAAATTACTTGAGCTTCTATCTGACCATGAATTTTCCACACTTGTGGAGCAATAGTTTTGGCGTGGGATGAATAGGGGATATTCATTACTGCATAACATAAACATCATTTAGTCCAACACGCTGAGAAACCCCAGTCACCACGTTAAAGAATATCCCAATCAAATACCTTCGAGAAGAAGGACGTGCATCCCAATAAGAATCTCTTTGCCATATCCGAGAGTTAGAACCCTAAAGAAAGAATGTCTTCGTAAAACACAGACACAAAGGAAATCCAATACAGTACAAGACATTACAAACAAACGTTTGATTGTATTAGTCAATAGTTACAAATGGTCCAAAGTAATAAAAAATCAGAATCAACATCTTTACTCCCAAACTCCTTTTGATTTGGCCTATAGTAAAACTGGATGGCCAGGAAAGATTCAGATACTTTAATATTTCAAATTATTGTCTTTAGTATGAATTTTGAAGAAAAAATAAGAGAATAAAGCATAACATACCGCAAAACCTGAGTTATGAAGAGCAGGAGCAGCTAAAATTCGAACAATAAGATTCAGGAGTTGCACCATGTATCTGTACTCCAACCACGGTGATTGACAAAATGTGGACAACATAAGAACAAAGGGATGAAAGTTTTACAACAAAGTCCAACATTATTTACAAAAAAAATAAATAAATAAATAAATGTAGGGTACTTTTGTAGAATGATGTTGTTATGAATATTAATCAGCAAGATAACAGGAAACCAATACATTGTTAGTAGCATGATAGAAATATTCATTCATAGTCTTATATATAAAAGAGAAAAGAATACCCGAGTGAGGCACCAAGCTCTTCTGATGCAACAGAGTGTGGATCAACCCCTCTTGGCAAACGTGCATTACAAATTTGATCATATTGCTCAGCAGACCCATTTTTCCTCTCTCCATCTATGATCACCTAAAATGCGGAAAGGATTTTTTTTTTTTTTTTTTAAAAAGGCAACTACAAAATTAAAAATTGGACAATGAAAATAATGACATACTACTATCATTCTACGCTTCTGCAATTATAACATAAACCAGAATAATGTATCTTGCTTGAAGTACAAATGATAACGAGTTAGGCACGCTAAACCTTTCGTTTCCGGCAAACAAATACAAAAGGCAATATGCTAAATGGCACTTATCAGTCATATATATGTACACATATTCAGAAATCAAGGTATATAAATAATTAAAGTGCTTACCCGACGATGGGGAAACAATTTGCATATTTGTTTGATGACTACAGACTGTTTATGAAGACGTTCTGAGGTAATTGCCATCTGTCATTCAAAGAATAGCCCTTGAGCATCAATTTCATGTTGAAATAGACATAAATTGCTAAGATGGAAGAATAACAAATAGACAAATGAGAGCATAGGTCTTGAATTCCAAATGTGGTGAATACTGAATTAAACGAACCAAAATATAAACATATTAAGCACCAATTCATCTATGAGATTAATAAAATTTCAAGGTAACTTCTAATTGATAAAACGGGGGAAAAAAAAGAATTTAAACCAATAATAATAGCCCTTACATGTCCTAAAGTCTGAGTGCAAATAAAGTTGGGATAGAACTTTTCCAGTTGTTCCATGCGATTGTTTTCCAACTGCAAAGAGGAAAATGATGCAAAAACATGGAAAAGTAGCAAAGTCAAACTCTTTTAACATACAAATAGTGCAACAATGAATGAGTTTCTTGACATTAATGAAATCCACCATACCATAGAACGAGCAGCTTCAAGCACCCCAGACTTCACTTTTAGATCGTAGTGCATTCTCTCTACTTTAGCCTTCCCTGTCAAATATTAAGATCTCCTAACGTCAAATAACGTCGACAATTTTTAAACGAAATTGCATTAAAGACCAATTGGCAAGCTGACTGCAATACCTTGCACGAGCCGCTCTTTACTTCGGCGGTGCTTCTCCCGTAACTTTGCAAGCTTTTCATTTTGAGACATTCTCCAACCTACTTGATCATCTGCCTTCCCCTGATGAATGTACCATATAAATACATCAATACACCTAGAGAAATAAAGGCATGTGTGTAAAATTTGTAAATGTTTCTAATTTAGTTAAATTAAGAAATTAGGAATACATTGGTAAATCAATGGTTTACCAATATCAATCAACTATTTATCAATGTCATTTTTTTTTAATCTAGGAAAACTAAGGACATTTATTTGAAAATTTAAAGTAGGTTTTATCCACTACAATTTCTCAGAAACAAAATGCACTTATGTCCCAAAAGCAGAGAAAGTGGAGTTTAATCAGCTATAGGGCAAATTCCATAGCCATTCTCAGCTGAGAATACTATCATCTTTCTCAAAATTTTGGCACTCTAAGAAAAAAAATTTAAAAAAAAAGGATCAGACACAACAAACCTTTGCCAGAAGCACTTCCTCCAGTCTACTATACAACGAATCCCGATGACTTTTATTTGATTTTAGAATATTGTAGTGATCGGCTAATCTGGGGAAAACATATAATAGTAATTTAAGACCATAGGTCATGTATCAAAAACCAATTAACTCAGTAAAACAACTACGAACTTCAAAAGCACCAAATTTTGGGGATAATACCTGTAATTTACGCAGATGGAACATATTGAAGGGAGATTCGAATTCTCGCAAAGAGCGCAACTAGTTGATTTTCTGTTCATCGTCTGACTTCTAATAAAAACACGCCTTTCAAAAATTCAGTCCCTTTTCAAGTTCCAAATAAACTCGTTTTCCGAATGGTTCCCGAGAAAGGGAAAGAAAATCGAATCACTCCAATCTTTAACCACTGGAAACCCCAACACAAGAACCTAATTACTTTCAATTTCGAATCGTGTATTGATTTCTCTTCTCAAAAGAAAAAAAAAGTGCACTACTCGCATATAGGTCTCGGGGGGGTCGGCAGAGTACCCGAAAGACGATGATCGAAGAGTTGCCGTCGTTGATGGAACGCGCAATTTTGATATCATTAAAAAATTATGGAACCTGAAAAACCCTAGAAAACAGAATTTTGGGAACAATTTCCGATTGGAATGCAAAATTGTAAGGGATAGGGAAACTCTCGGATGCTTTTCTAAAGTTTCTTGGCTTTTCGTTGTGCCAAATATGGGGGATTCTGTATGGGGTAACCCAATAAGTGTTCTACTGTCAGAGTATTGTTTTTTTAACTGTTAGATTAGTTTTTTAACGGTTAAATTTGGTCACACAGAATTTTTTTTATTATAAATTGTTAAAAAAATAATTTAACGGTAAAAAATTGATAGAGTACTTATTAAGGTTCTACCATATCCCACCTAAGAGTGGTAATTCGTGTTAGTAGATCGTGTTTATGTCAATCTGTTTATTAATCGTCTAAGGGTGGTAATTCGTGTTAGTAGATCGTGTTTATGTCAATCTGTTTATTAATCATGTGAGAAAATATCAACCTAAATATGATCTATTTATTAAATATATTAAAAATGTCAATCCAAACATAACTCATTTATTAATCGTGTCAACCCGTATAACTCGTTTAAATTAATATATTGAATAAATTACTAATATAATAATAATTTATTTAACGCGGTCAAGACAGATTTACATGTTTATCGGTTAATTTATCTTTTTCTTTAAGAAAAACAGATGAATTTTACCTACAAATATTAAAATTCACATTATTTTCATTTAATATGTCATATAAACTTTCATGTTATATCACATATCATTAGATTGCATATGACACATATAATTAATCGTGTCAATTCGTGTTAGGAGGTCAACCTTAACACAATTCATTTATTAATTGTGTTAATCATGTCAACCTGATTATGATTCAAACTCATTTATAGTAAATCCAAACCCACTAACTTCGTGCAAGTTTCGAGTCGTATCGTTACTCAAATTGCTAACCCTAAATTCCCACAAAATAAGTTACGATGGTGCCCAATGCAAATGAGAAAACATAAACGACAATATCATCGTGAACAACATAAATTAAAAACCATTGTGGCTTTACATGGCAATGAAATCTTAGAAAGGAACCACACCTGAGTAACACGAGAATGACATGATAAACAACACATTTTAATAGATGATGAGTGTGTTCATTTCACAACTCAAGTCATAATGATTTGTGCATTTGAGAGAAAAATACTGTGATAAAAAAATTAAATTTAAATTTTTATAAGAGAAAAGACTATAGTAATAAAACTTGAGTTGTAAAATGAATAATGCCGATAACATCTATAATGGATGACGTCATAATTTAACATGGTATATTCAGCCGTTCAGGACGACGATATTTTTCAATCTAACGACAAAATCTTGAACAACACAACAGAAGACGACATCACTTTTGATAGATGTAGAAACCATAAATATGGTCGCACCATCTAAAGATGCAAGAACTGGTGGCCCAGCCTGGGCCGTCCCGTTCTCCTTAGGCCCACGCGGGCCACGTGCCAGGCTGGCCCAGCCTACGAATTTTGTGGGCCGGGCCAGACCGACCAGTATAAGAATGACCTCGGCCCAGCCTACACCACGGGAAAATTTTACGTGGGCCAGGCTGGGTCGTGCCGCGGGTCAAGCTGGGCCGTACCGCGGGCCAGGATGGCTGGCCCACTCAAGGCCTATCATGGGTTTAGACGAGCCAGGCCATCTAAACATGCAATTTTTTATTTTTTTATTTTTAATTTTTAAACAAGTTAACAAATATATAAGTTTGAATAGTCAATGAAAATATGAAAATAGATATTTTATTTATGATTACCTCATTAAATAAAAACCTTTATAAGGAAAATCTAGTGGGACAAAGTCTTGGTAAGGAAAAAATAGTACAATTAGGATAATTATGCATAAGATGTTAACAAAATTACTATAAAAAAAATACATGAAGATATTATGGGCCTAGATGGGCTGGCCTATTATGGGCCTAGACAGGCCGGCCCATCATGGGCCTAGACGGGCTGGCCCAGCCCGGCCTGGCCTATAATTTTTCATGAGCCGTGCCGGACCGGCCCATAGGCCAATATAGATTGGCATAGCCTAACTCACTAATATTTTTATGGGCTGAACCGTGCCTTGAACAGTGAGGAACTGTGACGGCCCGGCTCATCATTGTGTCAAGATGGGTATGGACCGGTCCATAGGCCCTGACCCATTGTTGCATCTCTTTATCTTTATGAAAGATTATTTGGAAGAAAAAAAATCTAACTGCAAAAATGAAAGGAAAAAAAAAAAAAAAAAAAAAACAGAGAGAGCCTAAAAACGACTGTGAAAAAAGGTGATAGCTCAAAACGACAAAATTGTTTCAAACCAAACATTTTTACTGACATATGACGTGTCTCTGATGACAAGGGACATTATCCATTAAAACGACAAGTAAATAAAACAACGACATCATCTTTAAAACATTGAAGGACATGTCTATAAAAGATCAATACCTGAAGGAGTAATTCATAAATGACTATAGTTCAACGCGCCCCTCCTTTTTTGAAAAGAGTTCATTTTATCTTCAAATTTTTTTGAAAGGGAATGTTTAATTATATTAATACATTATAATATTGATGACGAAGCTAGCCACTCACGACGAGTTTTTTCTTTTTTCATTTATAATGTATCACTTAAAGCTGAGGGAATAAACTCACTAGGGTCGAGAAAGATAATTACTACGTGATTACTAATACATTTTAATTTTTAGAATATTGACAAACAATTACGGCGAGAAATTTAGAGAAAACCCATTGGATATGAAAAAGTAAGAATGATTATGTTTTCTTTTTTAGAATACGATAAAATTATTATTGGTCTGTTTAATTCACGCTTTTAAGTAAGTTATTTTAATTTTAAATTTAAATTTTATAAGAGAATTCATTGAAAAGAATTTTTTCGATTCAAATTTTTTTGTAAAAAAAAATACTATAATAAAATCAGAATTATAATTTCAAATGTATGAACTAAACGAATTCTATATATCATATTATATTGAATGATAGTCTGTAAGAGGAATGTTAGGTCTAATGTAGTGTGTGAAAAATTTCAATATAACGAGTAGAATTACACATAACTATCAAAAGCATAATGTCAAAAGACTAAAGGCTTTCTAGTGGGAGTAGGCTAATAGCCACCTATCTATGGCCATCTATTAGATTTTTACCAATTTTCAAATTAGTAAATAACAAGTATTCAATAATCGTTGCTTTGGTTATCTTAGATTTTAATCACTCTTGAAAAAATATCCTTATATTCAGTTTGAATTTGAAAATTGGGAGCCTTTGGAGATAAATCTCATGATTTGGGGTTTTGATAAATGCCCACTTGTTAAGCTTGCATGGTTAAGCCGTGTGTCATCATGATCATGAGTAATATAAATGCCGTTTAGTTTGTTGATTTGAGTTTTTAATTCGAGTTTATATGCGATTTTATGTGAGAATTTTTTATTATAACAAAAAAATTATATGTGATTATTTTTAAGAGTTTTTTACTGTAACAAAATTTAAATTGGTAAAATGAACGATGCCTAAATTCCTTATAAGCGCGCTGCAGAAATGATAGAAGAGAGGATTGACAATTATGGAGGAAACCAACTCCTAATCATCAACAAGGCCTACTTGGCGTCTATACAAAGCTAACGTTTTCTCATTATTAAGGATATACTCATTCCTTAACTCGCTTTATTTTTGTGCATCCTCTTATAATTCTGACCTTTTTAAGTGTAACATGCCACATAACCCCATTTTTGCTCAAAGTATCCTCCTCTTAAGTTGACACGTGTCAATAGTTCCTAATTTTCCTTTAAAAAAGTTGACAAATAATTGTCTTAACATATGAAATTTTGACACAATTGAAGCCTGCTTAGAACAAATAGAATTACTATTATAAATTGATATATAATGCCCTTTCAAAAAATATATATAAATATATAGAATGCGAGAATAAGAAAAGAGGTAAATATTTATGTCGCTGTAGAGGGACATTTCTCTAGACTTCTCTTTACAAGAAAAAAATACATTACCTAGTAGTCAATCAATGTTCAACAAAAGGCTTTTTTTTTTTTTTTTTTTTTTAATGAAAAAGTAAAAACAGAGGATAGATTGATAGCAAGAAGATGATGAAACTGAAGAGAAATAATCAAAAGATATGACGGATGGTAAGAAGAATTGGTTATAAAAAAGAAAAAAAGACAAACTCCCACAAGGAAAGACAAAAACCACAGTTAAAAAACCTTTAATTGCATTTTTTAATATATTTTAAGAAGAATAGCACATGTATTTTTTTAATATTTTCCCAACGGAGTACTCACGCTACTAAAAATCATAAAAAAAAAAACAGAAAAGAAAAAGAAAAATAAATAATTTCGCAAAAAGTTGGGCAACGATTTGTAGATACTCATACAGAAACAAAGTGGGGTTAATTCTTCAAGGAAAAAAAAATAAAAAGGAAAAAAAAGTGGGTTAGTTCTGACAATCGACGATCAATCATAATTCGGAAATCTCGCAAAAAATTGGGCAATGATTTGCAAATACACGAAACAAAGTGGGGTTACATTATCCAAAATCCAAATCCAAATATAAATAGAAAAAAAAAAAAATAGAAAGTCAAAAGTCAAAACCCATCTCATTCATTTTCAGCCCACGGACTTCCCGCTTCTCTCGCAGCCGCGCCTTTGTCTGAAAATCCTCCACCTCTCTTCTTCTTCTTCTTCTTCTATTCTCTTCCACTCTCATTTCACTCTATAAAAATAAATAAATAAATAAAATACCTTTCAAACATAAGCGTTCTTTGATTTATCTGCATTCAGATCGTTCTTCGATACTGCAATTATCTTTCTTTGTCCGATTCCGCTCTCCGCTCTCGCAGATCCGTAAGTTTTTTATTTTTTATTTTCTCTAATTTCTACTTTGCATTAGATTTTCTTTTTCTTTCTTTTTGTTTGGTTCAAGAATTCTATTAATTTACCGTTTTGGTGGTGTTTATTGCTTTGGTATTGTTTTCTCCGCGAGCGATTAAGTAATCTAGATGCTGATATTGTATTATATGTAGGAAATCATGTGGAAATGAATAAAGGAAGTTTCTTGATTACCCTTTTTTCTGTTCGTTTTAGATTAGATATTTTTTTTCCTTCCTTAATTTGAATCAGCGAGTAAGGTAATAACGTAGAAACTTACCTTTGGTCAATATTTATCAGGAATTGTTTATGACTATGTTTCTGTCTGGATTCCCCTAAAGCAGGAACTTTTCGTTGGCTGTTGCTTGCTCAACAATGATTGTGTTCTTTTTGTTTTTTGTTTTTTGTTTTTTTTGGTTTTAACAAACGATTAGGTAATAAAAGCTTTTGTTCTTGATTGTTTGTTTGTTTTTTTATTTTATTTTATTTTATTAAATTTGGGGGTTGGGGGATTTGAACTTTACAGCTTATGGTGAGTCACGTGTCTAAGATTTTGTTTTTAAATTCTTGCAGAATATGCATAAATTCAATTAAGTTGCCGCCTATTTGATGAGTTAGAGTTTGGGCTATTTGTCTTGTTGGCCTTATGGAAACCCAAGACTTGACCAAGAAAGATGTCACAAATCCTCCAGACGCTGAGACGTTGGAGGGAGAGAGCTTAGTCATCCAGAAAGAAGATCAAGGGGAGCCCTTGGAGGAAATTAAAACTCTGGACATAAATGGTGATAATCCGAAGTTGGACAATGATAAAACACAAGATGAATTAGTTGAGAAGGCAGATGAAAACAAGGACTCGGTGTCTAAAGTCGAAGAGGAGACGTCTGGCGATGATAAGACGAATGACCATGGTATGAATCTTGAGGCTAACTCTCAAGAAGAGATTTTAGACAATAATGGGGAAAAGGATAATTTGGAACAGAAGATAGATGAGAGTAAGGAGACCATTGGGGAGGAGAAGGAGCAAGAGCCTGTTTTTGATGGGACGGAGGTTCCTGGGATGGAAGATATCAGAAGCACATCCACTCGTTCTTTAGATCTTGATTTGGAGACACAAAAGGTGGTTGAGAAGGCAGTCGCATTGAAGAACCTTGTTAAGGAGAAAGGGGAGAAGGGAGCAGTTGCTGTTTCGAACTTCCTCCGTCGCCTATCTGGTAAAAAAGATGAAGAAGATGGACTAGATGTCTCTGAAAATGTTGGTAAGGATGTTTCAGACTCTGCAACAGATAATGCAGCTGAAGAAGCCTCTCAGAAAACAGGTGAAAGGTCCGCATGGAATCCCCTCAGCTATCTTACCATTCCCCGTGATGTTGTGGAGAACATTGAGGAGAAAGAGGTAGTAACTAAAGAACCAGAAGCTCATATTGTAATGAAAGGAAGAATTATTCTGTACACGAGGTTGGGGTGCAAAGATTGCAAGGAGGCTAGGTTTTTTTTGCACAGGAAGAGGTTGAAATATGTTGAGATCAATATTGATGTTTATCCCACCAGAAAGATGGAGCTAGAGAAGATTGCTGGGTCTTCTGCAGTTCCAAAGGTGTTCTTTAATGAAATCCTTATTGGAGGCGTGAGTGAGCTAAAAGGTCTGGAAGAATTGGGAAAGCTTGATGAGAAAATTGATTATCTGATCGCTGAAGCACCATCTTTTGAAGCTCCTTTGCCACCACTTTCTGGTGAAGATGACATGTCCACTAGTGGGGTTATTGATGAGCTAGCTTTGATTGTTCGGAAAATGAAAGATTCCATTGTTGTCAAGGACCGGTTTTATAAGATGCGTAGGTTCACCAGCTGTTTTCTAGGTTCAGAAGCTGTGGATTTCATATCAGAGGATCAGTACCTGGAAAGGGAAGAGGTAAGTTGGAATTTTATGTTCAGGCTTGGTTAAAGTGAATAAATTCTTGTTTTCATTTTCAGTTCTCGTAACTTCACTTTTCAAGAAACATAACACTTGAGCTGTCTTTCATTTCCATTCATAAATTGTTGTCTACTAATTCTACTATTTGGTTCTTTTGCTTTTCTGTGTTGTGAGACAGGCAGTTGAATTTGGGAGAAAGTTATCGTGTCAGCTGTTCTTCCAACATGTTCTTGGGTGAGTTTCTTTTTGTTTTGACGTGTCATTGTAGTTTGCATTATTGGGAAAGTCATAATAGGAAGTTGTTGACCAATGACCATAAGAGTGAAGCAGAAGATGAGTTAGAAGAAATCTGAATCCACGCTTACTGTCTTCTTTTAGTTTCCAAGAGAAGCGTGGAGAAAAGGTTTTAAATTCCTTATGCTTTGTTATCTTCTTAGAAATATTTGATTATTTTGAAGGTAAGATAGGTATTTCTGGGTAACAGAGCTTTGTTTCCTGTAGCCAACCGAATGACCAATGTAGGAAAATGACTTCTATATCCTTTAAAGTTGTAGATTGGAACACGATCTCTGCATGACATAAAATATGTTGTAATTAACATGTCTTTGTCCTTTCCGTTCTCAATAAGATTTTTTGTTTTTTGCCTTCCAGTGAAAATCAATTTGAAGATGGCAACCACCTTTATCGGTTCTTGGATGATGATCCAATAATCTCTGAATGTCTTAACATACCAAGGGGTATAACTGATGTGAAGCCAAAGCCCATAACAGAAATTGCATCGAGGTTGAGGTTCTTGTCTTATGCAATTATTGACGCCTACACATCAGAAGATGGAAAGCATGTGGATTATATAAGTATTCAAGCAAGCGAAGAATTTGCAAGGTTTGTATGATGCCTAAAACTATGGGAAAATCAGCTTAAGTTTCTCATGAGCATAACATGTTTGCGATACTTGTATTAAGTCATTGTTAATAATGGTACTGATAGGTATTTGAGAATAGTGGAGGAGCTTCAAAGAGTAGACTTGCACAACATGTCTAGGGAGGAGAAACTTGCTTTCTTTATAAATCTTTACAATATGATGGCCATCCATGCAATATTGTTGTGGGGTCACCCAGCTGGGGCACTAGAAAGAAGAAGATTGTTTGGAGACTTTAAGTATGTTGTTGGGGGGTCCGCGTACTCCCTTTCCGCTCTTCAGAATGGAATTTTACGGGGCAACCAGCGACCTCCATACAATCTCATGAAGCCATTTGGTGCAAAAGATAGACGTTCCAAGGTATGATGGTAACAGAGATAATCTTCAGTTTTGGTGTCAATTGTCTTGCATTCAAGTAAACATGGATACAACTTTGTGTTTCTTTACTTTTCTTTGCACGGTCTCTGAAAGTGCCGGTGCAGAGTTTGAAGTACTAGCCTAGTTGATAAGGTTCTTTAGATGTATAATTTAACCCCTGAGCAGAACATCTAGATCTTTCTGAAAACTATGGAACTCCATATCTAATTATATAACTTTTGTAAGTTATGATGACTCTTCGGGTGTCTTTGGTAAGAGGGAAAGAAAATAGGAAGGGAAAGTGTATGTATATATCAAGGTGAGGAAAAGAGAGGAAGGGAAAGGACCTTTCCCTCCTACCAAATAAGGCCTTGGAGATAACTGTGCTTCGTTTCAAGCTTTTATGGGGCGTCTTCGACAGAAGTTTCTTAAGTCCACTTTATTGCCTTGAGATAACAATAACCAGACTCCATTTACTTGAATTTGCTCTGTCTTCCTCACATCATTCTTTTGTATCAGGTGGCTCTTCCTTATCCGGAGCCTCTCATTCACTTTGCACTCGTCTCTGGTAACCAATCTGGGCCCACTCTTCGATGCTACTCACCAGGAAACGTTGACAAAGAGTTGATGGAAGCAGCCTGTAATTTCCTAAGAAATGGTGGAGTTATCATCGATCTTCAAGCCAAAGTAGCCTCAGTTAGCAAGATACTCAAATGGTAAGTCATTCTAACTAGAGGGTCTTTTCCTTTTTTTTTTTTTTTAGCTGTCATTTTTGTGATTATCTGGTGATTCAATCAATCTAGATGCTACCTAGTATTTTCTCATTGGTGTGATTCTCAGGTATAGTATAGATTTTGGTAAGAATGAGTTAGAGGTACTCAAGTTTGTATCAAACTACTTGGACACAGCAATCTCAGAAGCTTTACTGGAGTCTATTGCCAACTCTCAGTTGAAGGTGACATATCAGCCTTACGACTGGCTTTTGAACTGCTAATGTCTTGGCCCTTCTCTTCCTACGTACAATACATTTATACACTATACGTAGCTCTCCCCTCTCCATGTGATACAAAGGCTGAGAGGGAAGTTTTGAAATTGTCTTTATTATCAGCTTTTTGCTATTCTGCTTAAGATCTTGTTGTGCCGGCAGATGATGCATGAGATATGTATTTTTATAATGTTGATATAAAGCCTAATGATCGCTTGTACTGGCAAAACAAATAGATCATGGACTTTGTAGAATTGTTGTGGAGATTATGAATTCTTTTGTATAATTTACGGTTGTAAGGATTTTACTAATCTGTTTGATTGAAAATGAATGCTCCACACCACTTTTGAATTCCGCGGTTTTTGCGTTGAGTAGATTCTGGTCTTTTTTCTAATTATTATGATTTTAGATGTAATTCTTTTCCCTCTATTTTCTAACAAAAATTAGACGTAGAACGTGGATCAAACCCATATTATCTATGAAATCGGTCGCCCTCATTCATGGATGTTTAATCATGTATAAGACTTTTTTTTTTTTTATTTAAAAAAGAGCTTATTACACTGAGACTTCTTTCGTTTTGTCAAAATAACAAAAACACTTCATTAATCAAAACTAATCACGTCAACACCCTTAATTTTTTATAAAAATTAGATAAACACTCCATTTGTTAGTTGACCGTGAGTTAACCGTCAATCTTTGACTGTTAAATTTTTTAAAATGCCAAAATGTCCCAGAAAATGTTTCTAAGTTGTACATAATATTTGAAGAGACGTTTATACCCCTATTTATACCCCTAATTTTTACACATTTATAACTATAATTTTCACTCTAATAAAAACAAATTTTTTTTCAAATTTTTTTTTTTCTAAAAATCCTTTGTTTTAGCAATGTTTTCCATCCATTAAACTAGCGTATTAAATTAAAAACCATTTAATATTTAGTGCATTATTAGGACCAACTATATTATAATGAAAATTAATTTAATTGAAAGGATAAATTAAATTTGAAAATTTTATCCTAATAATGAAACAAAAATGGTTTAAATTAAACTTAAAACATTAATGATAAAAAAATATAATACAAAAAAATTAAACGCATTAACTTTTTTTAACATATTTTTACGTTAACTCTTTAAAAAATATTACAACACATCCTAGCACAATTTTTTATTAAAAAGTAAATAAAAAAGAAAGAAAACAAATTTAACATAAGGGTAGTTTTTAAATTTCTCACTAAAATTTAACGGGGTTTCAATTAACGGGTGTTGCTGTTATTAAATTTGGTAAATGGCGCCGGTGTTGCTGTTATTAAATTCGGTCAATGGCGCCGGTGTTGCTGTTATTAAATTCGGTTAATGGAGTGTCACTGTAATTTTAATAAAATACAAGAGGTGTGACTGTAATAGCGAAATTTTTATAAGATATTATAGATTTGTTAGAAGATTATATAATTGGAAGTTTGCAGTAATTAATACAAAGTGATACGTCGTGGTTCTTCTTTGATTCACAAAAACGCCGGGTCGTATTTCTACAATGGTTGCGATGTTTTAAGCCTAGAAAAATGGAATGTTATTCCAAGTTTTTACCAGAAAACGGTAACATATCGTTTCAGTTAGTCCAACACTGAAACAAGTGTAGTTGGAAAAATTTTCTTTGAAAAATAATTGAGCTGGAACCAATTTTCCTTCATGAAAAAAATAGAAAAAGAAAAAATCCTTCAAGAAAAATACAAACTACATTGATGGCCAAAATCCAAATTCTCTCAGTATTGCATTGTGTATTTGTGTATCGCCTACAAACAAATTGAGGTACGCCACCATATAACTGTGGAGAGATCTCCGAAGCTCTTTTAACACATAACCTATTTGGTTCTTTATGATGTCTTCTCAAGAATGATACACCAGTTGGATTTGTCAAAAAACCGGTCAACAACCACTGCATTCTCCATACCAGATACTAACCTGCAAAATACAATAAGCACAAAACAGACAATTAAGACAGGGTCGAGATTACTTAGGAAATTGATTTACAGCTTTTAGCATTTTCAAGAAAACGTTTGAGACCAAATTCTACAGCAGAGACTAAGCATAAATCTGAGTTATTCATGCCAAATTCGAATGACAAAACAGATACTTTGTAATCAAATGGAAACATCCTTTTAAGAACTATCTACATTACCTTTCAAGCTCGCCTTCGCTGAAAACATGGTAGTATCTGTTGTAGACTACAGCACCCTTTTTATCATCTTTCTTCGCCAAGCCATTTGCAAGAGCAGAAGCAGAAGCGCCACTGACTTCAGCGCGGTGATAAGGTAAGTGCCAAGGGACAAAATATTCCTGTTGATTGTTGACATCCCTCGCATTATCAGAAGCCGCGGAGTCTTCTTCACTTTGACAAGTTGTTTCCCGCAACCTCCCAGCAGAACTCTCCTTAAAACCTCTCACATGTCCTAAACTATTCTCCTCGGTTTCTGGGATACTTTCCAACTTGAAGGACGAAGGGCTACTACGCTCATGAGGGCTGCCGGGTCCTATCCACTCCTCGTCATACTTTTCGAGGATCGGAGTCCACTTGTTAACCAATGCTCTATCCTCCTGCTCCACAGCCCAAACGGTTATCAGAACCAAACCACCCTTTTTCACAACTCGGACCAACTCTTCAATGGCTTTCTTTCTCCTACTCTCTGTGCTTAAATGGTGCAACACGGCAATAGAGATCGCTGCATTGCCGAAACCGGCTCTGTAGGGAAGATTTACAGCGTCAGCGACCAAAACTTCATGCCCTCTATCGGCACATATCTTAATCAATGGAAGACTTATGTCACATCCTATAAAGAAACAACCAGGATTCAATCCCAAGTACTTCCCATTCCCACATCCCGCATCCAGAACAAGAGATCCCAACGGCAGGGACGACAAAAAGGCAGCTACTTTCGGCCACTTGGCGAACCGAGTGGAACTGAAATGGGGCGCAATCGCGTCATAAACGCGGTGGACGTACTTCTTCTCTATTTCGGGAGTGAATTGCACTCCAAGCGATGAGTTTTGGTCGTCATTGCCAAATTCGGTTTGTGGGGCATGAGTTTCTTCGTCAGAAAAGTTAGTAGAACAAATACTAGAAGCACCCTTTACTTTAATTTCTCTCATGGTGCTCAAGAGTTTTGAATTGAATACGTTTCCAGATTCAACAATGGGAAGGGAGAAATTCTCCGCAGACAGATAAAAGAATCTACTTGCTCTTAGAAAGCTAAAAATCATAAGCACAAAACACTATTCCAAACGAGATATCACCTGAGAAATAGACCAAAGTAAAACAAAAACAAAAACAAAACAAAACAAAACAACAATCAAGAAATAAGCTTTGTAACCTGAAAGATACGAATTTAACGAAATAACTAATAGATTAACGTTAGGAATTAAACGCTAAATTGGAAAAGGGAAGAAATATCAAACTTACCGGGAAGAATCTGATCCACATATCTTCATTCATTCTCTGCGTCGGCGAACCGCCATAGCTAGCAAAACCCCGATGTTCTGTTCTCTTCCCAGCAACAAAATGCTGGGTATTCATGGATTGGGCTTAGTTCTGATTTTGGGCTATTAACGGCCCAAAACATCTGGAAAAATGGGGGCATAGGACTTAGGTTTAGCATTTGGATATCAAGGGCTGAGATCAAACAAACAACAACAGAAAAAATGGAGAATTTATCCCTTTTAAGTGCACAAGTTTAAATTCTTATTCCTTACTCTTAATAAATATTATTTTAAAAAGTTAAGATTACCCAACACAATTAGATCCATTGGATGAGTTTAATTTATTACACTAACATCCCCATAGTTTACCAAAATAACAGACACCTTGACTGAAACTAATCATACTAATACCCCTCAACTTTTTAAAAAAATTACACAAACACTCTCTCTCTCTTGTTAGTTGTTAGTTGACCGTAAGTTAACTGTCAATATTAATCATTAAATTTTTAAAAAGACTAGAAATGCCCCTCCATAGAAAACATTTCTAAGCTTATATAATCTTTAAAATGACGTTTCTACCCTTATTTAGCATCAAAACATGAGATAGTTAATTGTACACATTTGTAACTATAATTTTCACTCTAAATATATATATATATATATATCTTTTTATTTCTTTTTTTAAAAAAATCTTTTATTTTAATAATGTTCTCTATCCACTAAAATAGCATATTAAATTAAAAATCCATTGCACAGTGCATTATTAGGACCAATTAAAATAAATGTAATAATGGAATTAATTTAATTAAATAATAAAGTAAATTGGAAAATTTTATCCTAATAATCAAACAAAAATGAAATTTAAATTAAACTTAAAACTTTATTGACAAAAATATAATACAACAAAATAAGCACATTAACATTTTTAATATACTTTTACATTAACTTTTTAAAGCATATTTCAACACGTAATGACACATTTTTTTCATTAAAAAATCAAATAAAAAAAAAAGAAAGAAAGCAAATATTAATTGGGCAGTTTTGAAATTTCGGACCTAGACTTAACAAAGTTTGAGACATGGATGTTGATATTATAAGATTTTGAAACTACATGTGAAAATTAATTTTTATTTTTTGAATTGTTTTTATCCTTAAATTTTATATGTTTCTAAATTTAGTCCCTAATTTTCACAGATTCCGTCAAATATTTAATACCAAACTAATAAAAGGATTGAAATTGAAACAAAGTAAAACCTCAAAGAATCAACTGTGAGAAGTTTTAAAAGTTAGGGACCAAAGTGGAATTGAGAGTAAATCTCAAGGATTATTTGTGAGATTAATCCTAATTTTTATAATTTTTATGTTAACATATAATATTTATTCAATCTTTACGTTAATTAATAATATTTCAAATATTGCTTCAATTTATACTATTGATGGTATTCGTAATGTCTCTTAAAATTTTACAGGTCTTATTTTTTTTTTAATTCTTTTCAAGAAACATTACAAGTGATATACCCCTTTTAATGATTAGTTATAACGTAATGATCATAATGGTGGTATTTCAATAAAAATATTTCTAAATTTCCAACTAATCTTAAACTTTTTAAATCCCATTTTCAATAAAATGATGGGGCAAGGCGGAAAGCATTGTAGTAAAAGAAATAACAGTTATGAAAAAGAGTGTTAAATATGAGATTCAATATCTTTAATCAAGCACTCATATAAAAGAACACTTTAAAATATGTGGTTGCAATTGTAATAGTTTAGTGGTAAACTCACGTTTGAATTTAATATAAGGCGTGTATATTAGGCAAAAAAAACATAAAAGAGAGAAAAAGAAATTGCTAAAAGCCTATGCATATTAGGCGATATTCATTGAGTGGCCAATCAATTGCCTCGTTCATTTCACTTATTGGAGTTTTCGGTTTTAGATTTATATAGTAAAAAATTCTCAGAAAATATCACATATAACTTTTTCTGCTATAGTAAAAAATTCTCAGAAAATGTCACATCTCAACTCGAATCTGCGAAGTAAATGAGGCTATATATTATTTCACTACTCATCTATGATCATTCTTTTAGTTGTATTAATCATTCTTCAAACATTCTTAATCCTCTAGACCGGGATATTCAAGTTCAACATTTTTTTTTTTTAATTTCCATAGTTCCTTCAATTATTATTTATTTTTTGCTCTGAAACTTGCTTCAATTATTTGTTCCTCCTTCTGAATCTAGTCGTCCTACCTAGGTAGTTCCTGCATGTGGCGTTGGATTCCCATTTACAAATATATGGTAAGCTTGACTTAAGAAGGGTGATTAATAAAATATTAATTCGATGAAGAAATTTATTGTGGACTAAGGGCCCGTTTAGTTCGCTGATTCGAGATTTTAATTATAGTTGAGATGTGACTTTATATGAGAGCCTTTTATTGTAACAAAAAAGTTCGATGTGATTATTTCTGAGAGCTTTAAACTGTAACAAAACTCGAATTCTAAACTCGAATTGATAAAATGAACGAGACCTAAGAAATTTTTTATATCAGTAAGACATGATATGTATTACCGATACAATTTAAATTATCAAATCACATTCAAATTATACGAGATCACCGTTTTTTTTACCAATTCGAGTTTTACTACAGTAAAAAGCTCTCATAATCAATCACATCTAACTTTTTACTACAGTAAAAAACTCTCACATAAAGTCACATCTCAACTCGAATTAAAAACTCGAATCAGCGAACCAAACGAGCCCGTAAAATTTGAGGGGTTGTTCTTTGGAGTTAAACTCAAAAAAAATTTGAACTCAAGTTACAACTTTATTCAAGTTCATGTTATTTTGTAAAATTTGAGTTTGAACTTGAATTTGAGGCTAAAATCTGAATTTCCTCTTCAACTCAAGTTTGTAAACTTAAACTCAAGTTAATGAATAATATTTTTTTATTCTTAAAAATATTATAACTTTTTAGTTTTAATTCCGATTGAGATGATTTTTTTTCTATACGTTCACAATGAAGAGAAATAAAACCCTACCTATATACCTTATTAAAATTTTTCATTACCATTGAGTTTTTATTAAAATACTATCCAAATATAAATTCAAGTTTTGACCTACATAAATACAAACTGAAATAGATTCTCAATTCAAATAATAACTCATCTAAACACAAACTCAAATTAAAATCCTAACTCAAACCATATTCAAATACACCTTAACTCAAATTAAAATCTAAACTTAAATCATCTTAACTCAAAAAATGAAAACTTACAAACCCTAAAGCGTTTAAAAAAACTAACGCGTTCAAATTAAGATTTGAAATGTATTCCGCTCAGAGAATTCCAATCTGCCGTCTTTTGGATGATGTGATGGCGATTGATATATATCTTCCATTCGAGTAGAAAAAGACCTTTTCAAGTCCGATAAAAAGGTGTTGGAATTCCGTGGCCAGAGGTGACGGAATGTGCATGACTCTTGCTTTTTTTCCACTTTCCTTGTGCAATTTTACCGACATTGAATATGACTGCTTCGTCCCAAAACTAGTCCACATTCTTCCCCTTGTTTTCATGGCATCATCGTGAAGTAATATTGATTATTGTTGATGATCTCATATCTAGTTTCAATTATTCTTCATGGCACTCTTGGTCTCTGGGTTTCATATATAAAATGCCATTACTTTTTTATGATAATTTTGGAATTTCTGCAGACCATTTTCACTGTCGGTAGGAACTTTTGTTAATTTTAATTTCTTAACGATCTAATTTATCAGAGTCTATTTTTGAAATTTATATTGCACTGCATAAAATTATTCTCTTTTATAATTTAGTATGTTAAAAATTAATATAATAACTAAAACAACAATACCTATTAATATAGTAAATATATCATAATACAATATACTCATAAATTATTTCATATTTAAGAAATTAACAGAAAGATAACGAGACAAAATATATATGTGGTGTTTGTATAATAAATTTGTACCACAGTTTAAATTTTTTTACTATATCGTTTTTTCTCACAAAAATTTTGAATTTCTATTTAAAACCTACAAATTAAGTGACGCCATAATCATTAGTGGTTTAGGAAATGGATCATCCTCGTGAGCTGCACATATAAATAAGCACGTATATATCTTGTATATTAAATTTCTAGACATGGAACAACAAGTAATTTGATTCAATTTTAGGTGGAATTAAATTTCGAAAGTGAGCTGCATAGAAACCATTAGGCACACATAAGAACTGTTCATTCCCGAAAACTGGACAAAAGACAAGAATGGATGCATAAGGCTTCTTTTATAGGCCACAAGTGGAGTAAGTATTTTTATTGTTGGATTAAATTTTCAACGGTTAAATCTGTAGTAGGAACAGTTTTGTGTGGTGCATTATAAATTTTTAATACGGACCTTTACAAATTTAACCGTTAAAAATTTAATTTTACGGTTAAAAACACTTGCTCTGTCAGTGGATCACAAATGGAGAATGCACTGTAAAATTTCTAATATTGTAAAAGGAATTATTCAAGATGATCTGTTACCAAATTTATGTTTTTTTTTCCCAAATTATGAAGGGAACACTACTACAATTTGGCCAATTTGCGATGAAATTATTTGCGACGACAAGCGTTGTCGTAAATATTTATTTATTTGCAACGACATAACGTCACAAATAGATTTCGTATAACAGGAAAATATTATCTTTGCTAAAAACTCACACGTCATCGCAAATATGTAGTTGGCGGCAAATATTGTGTGGCACCAATGTTTGCGGCCAAAATAACATTATTTGTGATGACAAGTCACAAATAATGTACTACGTGCGACAACATAATTCGTCGCAAAAAATAATTCATTTATTTATTGTCTTCCTAGTAAAAGGGGTCATTTTGGCGGTTCCCAAATTTATTTGCGACGACATGAATATGTGTCGTCACAAATACTGATTTTGTATTCCCCCGCTAAAATAAACAGTGGAGAAATTGGGCGGTTCCCCAAAAATTATTTGTGACGACATCAATATATGTCGTCGCAAATAATAATTTCAGAACCTTCG